CACAGCCCAGGGGAGAGAGAGCTGCCCTAGTCCACAGCAGCTCCAGGTACTGTCAGTAGGGTCTCCAGTGACACAGCCCAGGGGAGAGAGAGCGCTACCCTAGTCCACAGCAGCTCCAGCTCCACGAGTGGTACGCGTACCATAGTTTGAGAACCACTGCTCTAGGACATTGTTAGACTTGGAAGAACATTCTGAGATAATGATAGTAAATAAGTTGGTAGTTTTTCTGGTACAGCAGAGAGAAAGCAGTTAGGTCGTGATTACCAGAGAGAAACACTTGCTGATCTTTAAAAAAAAATGGTCGTTCAAGTTCAGAAGAAAACTAGTTTCAAGAGGGCTTCCATTGGAATAACTGAACAGAACTGAACTGAAAACGGGCAGCAGTTACAGCAGCTTGCTGAACTTGTCCCACCAGATGACATGAACTGGAACGCCCTGGAATGGGATCGGGCTGCGGAAGAGCTCACATGGGAACGCGTAAGTCTCCGACTTACTCTTTTCGCAGTTTGTAAAGGCTGAAGTGATCAATATTAGCTTAAATATGTGACATTTGGTCATCGCAATGTCATTTGCTGTGCTTGTGTAGTCATAATAAATTTGTTTTCGGCCATCGGCCTGCTGCTTTATTCACGGGCGCTTTCAGTCAGACGCTGAAGGAAAACTGATTTAGTCCGCTGTTGCCTCATTAGTTTGAGGACATAATTAATCTGGTGGTGAAATTGCCGGTTGTTACAGTTCGTTGTTTACTCCTGCTCTTTCCCAGTGCGATTCTGTGCTTTAGCACGTTGACTTGACGAGCGTATTGTTTTTTCCCAGATGCTCGGACTAGATGGCTCCTTGGTTTTCCTGGTATGTAATTGTGCTTCATCACGTTGAATAAATGGCCTCTGAACAGATATTTTGACACTGACAAACCTCAGGAGCTTATACAAACTGTTCATAACTTATAACAATTGCTGTTATGTGCTATTTAACACTGTAGACATTAAATAGTAATAAGAACCTTATTATTAATACTTTGAAATGTAGAAATGCATAAAATGTTAAACAGCTATGAAAATCTCAGATGGGTTAAACTATTAACTTAAAATTGACTATTTTTGATGCGATATATGGTGCAATGGTTAACTTTAATCATGTCTTTTTCTTAGGAACATGTTTTCTGGGTAGTGTCACTAAATACACTCTTCATCCTTGTTTTTGGTATGTTTCTGAACTTTTAATTACTCTTTACAAAAATAATTTCATGTCATTCTTTTAAATAGTATCCAGATGGTGCTTTTATCCCTTAATGTGAGCATATCATTTTGTTATGGATTAAATTTCAATGAAGATGAAAGATTAAACTGCTGATAGTAGTGCATGAACCCATCTTATCCATAATGATAATATGATCAATCCACCTTCATACATCCATTTTCAGTTCGTGAGTTCAGGTAACCACAAAAAAACATGACTTTATTTTAAAACCACTGAGTGAGGAATTGTTGGAAAAAATCTAACCAAAGATCCTATCCAGCCATTTCTTGAAAGGAGCCAGGTTATCAGTTTTAACAATGTGGCAGACCCCAAAACCACTATGTGTAGAAACGTGCCCCCTCTTCTCAGTTTTAATTACACCTCAATGCAGTTCCACAGTTTTGTTCTTTGTGTACCTGCGTATTATACTAGACCACAGGCCAGTTATTGCATACACTGTGAAAGATCAGCTGTGAGTATTTGTGTGCTCTGACGGCTGTGTTAACTAACACCTCTTGTTCTTTCAGCCTTCTGCCCTTACCACATTGGGCACTTCTCTGTTGTCGGATTGGGTTTTGAAGACTATGTAAGTGATGGTGTTTTTCTCAATAAGTTCCTTTTTGTATATGAAGCATCCAGCTTTGTCTAAGATCCCTTTATTTTCCTTTAGTAGCATCCAGATGACACATTAGATTGGCTGTCCGCATTGTTTACATTGCATTCATATTCTTTGGAGACAGAAATGTTCCCCAGATGTTCAGTTCACAGGGCTGAAAGAGTTTGTAATGTACTTAAAGAAGACTCAGAAGGTAAAAATGTTTTTTATTTTCTCGTCTAGGTTCAAGCCTCACACTTCGAAGGGCTGATCACAACGATTGTTGGCTACGTCCTCCTGGCTGTTACGTTGATTGTGTGTCATGTATCCTTTCATCTGGGTTTCCTCTTTAATCTCTCTACACTTTTCAGACGGATAGATGTTTCCAGCTCAATTAAGTGCACAAAACCTGCAGGCCAACGTGACAGAATGCCTCTCCCATCTCTTTGCAGAGTTCACTAGCTTTTCAAAATCTTAGGTGTCTGGCAGAAGTGAAATCCAGCTTCCTTCATATCAGTTTATCGGTTTCTTGCCAAAAAAGGTGTATCGGCAAGAATGCGGGGGTTGAAAATGTCTGGCCCAAGAGCGAGCAGGCTTCACAGGCTGTGAAGTTCAGTGAATGGATCAGGTTCCGTCTGCAAAAGCTGATCTTTCCCATCTTGCAAGCTAACCCGATACCTTCTGGAGCGCGATCATCAGACCCGTCATGATGGTAGGCAGACAGACCGGGACTGAATCCCTCTCTGCCCCATGGTTTGTTTCAGCCCTCCCTTCTGAAAGACACCTGTTTGTACCCACGAACAGACACACGAGGTTATTCTCGATGATGAGCATCGGCTTATCACCGGGCAGCGCCAGCTGAACACTTGACGGCTTTTCTTTTCGTGCGTCTGCATGGGCCTCCTTGTCTGCAGTTCTGTGACGGACATTTTCGGCCCACCGGTGGTGAGGGCAGTGCAGCCCTAGGCAGTGGAGCGTAACTGTGCCCGATTCCCTGTTCCTTAACCAGCAGACTCAGGGTTTAGCAGCGCTGGTGAAATTCCAGAGATCGCGGCGTTTGTTAGGGGTCTGCTACATCGTCGTGAAGGTAACTTGAATCAATCGCCATGTTTTGTAATTTCGTTAGCCCTGGAAAGACCTAGTTGAAGTACCAAATGAGCTCTGATCATTACTTGCTATATAAACCAAGCAACAGTGAAATGGATAGAAAAATAAAATGGCTTTTGACAAAAAAAATTATAGTGCAAAGGTTTTGGGTAGATGTTTTAGACCACCCAGTCCATGTGTTGCAATGCTAAACTGTTGAGAAGCAACCAGAAATATAAAAAGGAAACTCTTCTTAGGAAAATGAAATATTGGTATAGAAAAGATGTGTGATTCTGGTTGGTGTTGCAGGTGTCTTTGCTGGTGGTTGTGGAGATCGGTGTGTTTCCACTCATCTGTGGATGGTGGCTTGACATCTGCTCATTGGTGAGTAAAAGTATCGATGAGCTTATTTCTGCAAGTGAAGCCCGAAGTGAGATGTGTCGTCGGTGGTTTACATGTCTTGAAACACAAATGCGTATTGAAAGATAAAAAAGAGCTTGTGAGAAAGACCTGGTCTTCCTGTTGCCTTCCCTTCCAGGAAATGTTTGATGCTTCTCTGAAGGACCGTGAGCTGAGTTTCCAGTCCGCTCCAGGCACCACCATGTTCTTGCACTGGCTGGTGGGAATGGTCTACGTGTTCTACTTCGCCTCTTTCATCCTCTTACTGCGGGAGGTGAGCCAGCCGTGCCTTTCCTGCTCCTCTCCCATTGGAGCAGGTTGGAATTGAATCGTAGGAGTACGGGAGCCCAGGAAAGGTTACAGTCAAGAGGAGGCCTGTCCAGCCCACTGTTTGGTGCGGTTTCATTTTAGTGGCAGCTATTTCTTGCCATTTACTACTGAAAAGTGACTCGCGGGCTCCTCTTTATTGCAAACCTTTTAAATGCATTCCTCTGGGCAGAAATTAGGAAGGCTATTTCCATTTTAATTTAAATATGATTACTTTTTACGGAAGCGTTGTCTATGGTACAGTCTTGAAAGGCCCAAGCAGTCTTGCAAGTTCCTTTGGGAATAAGTATTTTATATATTATAATATCTTACGCTTATGGTGTCCCATCTAGGGTGCAGCCTGCCTTGCACCTATTGCTTGCCTGGATGGGCTCTGGCTCCAGGTCCACCACAGCCTTGCGTCGGAAAATGATGTTTGAAAATGGACGGAGCGATGTCTCATGGACTTCATAAGTTAAATTGGTTGTCTGTATTTTACGTAGCATAACCGTTTTTGTTGTGTGTTGTATTTGCTTGACTGTGTTGTAGGTTCTGAGGCCTGGTGTTTTGTGGTTTCTGAGAAATCTGAATGATCCTGATTTTAATCCTGTCCAAGAAATGATTCATCTGCCGATATACAGACATCTCAGAAGATTTATTTTATCAGTGGTAAGTTGTGAAGTGTTTTTACTGTTATTGCATCTTTTCACCATTTTCCTCTTTCTCAAAATGTCAAAGGACTGATTTTCCTTTTTCCCTGCTTCCTGCAGGTTGTCTTTGGGTCCATTGTTCTCCTCATGCTATGGCTTCCTATTCGGATAATCAAGCACATTTTACCAAACTTCCTTCCTTACAACGTCATGCTGTACAGGTAAATCCCTTTAAATATCCGAGGAGCACCTTGCCCAGTGAGCGGGTCCTTTCCAGTCCTTAGTTAGTTAGGGGCCTTTTCTCATTCGTCAGCGTAGAATTCTGATTGTGTAAAAGAGTATGTACTGCCATTCCAGCATAACCCACACAGTATTCACACTGACGTTTGTTTTCCCGTTCTGTAGGTGCACACTTTATTTCCGGTGTCGAGTAGTTCAGTTTTCATTACCTTGCGGTGTGCGCGGTGTTGGTGATGGGCTTCCAGCTTCAGATGTTCCAGCTGTGGCACAGTAGAGGCCCCCGGTCAATGCCGTGTTTGTGTGAGTGACGACTTGTGCTGCCTGCCTTTCCCAGCGACGCCCCGGTGAGCGAGCTGTCCCTGGAGCTGCTCCTGCTGCAGGTGGTGCTCCCGGCTCTCCTGGAACAGGGACACACCCGCCAGTGGCTGAAAGGGCTGGTGCGGGCCTGGACTGTCACCGCCGGCTACCTGCTGTGAGTGCGGCCGCTGCCGCTCGAGTCTCGCCGGCCGATCAAACCGCCACCTGCGCCACCGGCCGACACAGTCAGACCTGTAGCATCCCGGCTGCAGTGCTGGCTGATCTCTCTCCCCCCTCTGTACCGAGGGCACGGCTCCTCTTTCAGATCTAGAGTTAACAACAAGTGGTTAAATCTAAAATGTAAAAGTTGGAGGAAAAGAAAGCTGGATAAAAAAGCTGCCTTAACAATAGTTGAATACTAATGGTCTATTAATAAACCTATTTGCGAACTGTAGCTGGGCATGAAATGGACAGGGTGGTGAGACGAAGGCTGCTTAGTCCCGTCCTGAATAAGCTCTATACAAAATCATGCGTTGCAGTAGTATGTCAAGACTTGTCTCTCCCTTCGCACTCTGCTAAAGCTCGAGAGGTGTTTTTCATAGCTCTTACTGTTTCAGTATCACGTGGATAAAGTAGTGTGAGAGAGTACCATAGGTTCCTGCGAATTCAGGATCACAGGAGTAGTGGGTCTTTATGCGTGTTATTTCCCGGCCGTCTCTCGAAACTCTAAAGTCGGGTGTTTGTCCCACAGAGACCTTCACTCTTACCTGCTGGGAGACCAGGAGGAAAACGACAACAACGCCAACCCGCAGGCCAACAACAACCAGCAAGCTCGCAATAACAACGCCATCCCTGTGGTGGGCGAGGGGCTCCACGCCGCCCACCAGGCCATTCTGCAGCAGGGCGGCCCTGTGGGCTTTCAGCCCTACCGCAGGCCTCTGCGGTTCCCCTTCCGGGTACGTGTCTCCGCCTCCCTGCACAGGGCTGTGGGGGTCTCGCCGCTCGCAGGCGTCTCTCTGCGTGAACATGCTGTGGTGTCTTTTCCAGATCATGCTGCTAGTCGTCTTCATGTGCGCGACCCTGCTGGTGGCCAGCCTTATTTGCCTCACGTTGCCAGGTAAGTAGCCCTCGCGCCCGGCTGACCGCCATCAGCACTCATCTCGGAAGTACGAGTGAAGGAAGTCCATGGCGATGTGGATTCCCATGCACTAGGATGGTTTGCTTTCTCTTTGGGGTGTTTTGAGATGTGTACCTCCAGAATAGTCATTTTTATTTCGCAGACCAAAACAGGCTGTTGATGTGCCTGATCGCGTAACCTTTCCTTTCCTTTGACAGTGTTCACCGGCCGCTGGTTGATGTCCTTCTGGACAGGCAGCACGAAGATCCACGAGCTGTACACCGCAGCTTGCGGCCTGTACGTGTGCTGGCTGTCCATCCGCGCCATCACGGTGCTCCTGGCCTGGATGCCCCAGGGCCGGCGGGTCATACTGCTGAAGGTGCAGGAGTGGTCTCTCATGGTAAGGCCGCCGTTTCTCCCGCTGCACCCTCCAGCCGCTCAACAGCAGCGTGACCTGACCATCGTCAGGCTTCATCGGGGGGAATCAATGACCTCTGTTAACATAAAACTGAACACTATCTGTAAATCACAGACAACAGTGTCTTCAATGGGCGTGGCTCATAAAACATCACTTTATTGTCCACTGTACTTTTCTGTGGATCAGTCTCCTCCATCCTCAACACATGATCCACAGGTTCGCACTTCAGTAACTTGCTTCAAAGTACTGCTGTACCTCTTCTGAGCCTAACAGGAGGCACTGTATTTGGGGATTAATGAAAAAAAAACAGTCTCTGTAGGAGTGGGAGTTCTTTCAAAGGCGTTTCCACGCAGGTCCTGCTTGTCTTGGGACTCGTTTTACCGTTCAGCCTCTGTGGGCTGCAGTGGCTAAGGCAGTGCTGGTCTCAACAGATCATGAAGACGGTGATTGTGGCTGTTCTGCTGGCCGGAGTCATCCCCCTGCTGCTGGGCCTGTTGTTCGAGCTGGTCATCGTGGCTCCTCTCAGGGTGCCTCTCGATCAGACACCTCTCTTCTACCCCTGGCAGGTTTGTATTGAATTTCAGGCCGATCGGACGCCAGCTGCTCCTCTGGGAGAGGAGTCCGTTCTCAGAAGGCAATCTTGAGCCCTTGGTGGGGTGCAGCTGTCTCTGCCCCATGGCCTAAGCGTTCTCAGTAGGGCACTGGCTCCTCTGGTTCATCCGCCCTTCCTGTTGAAGCTGTTAAGTTTCATTTCTCAGTTTAGGCAAATCCTGACTTCCGCAGACAATACTGCTCCTAAGAACACATGCTCATTTTTAGATATTATTAGTAGAAGAACTTTACAGGAAGGATATTTCATCAGGCATTGAACTGCCCTTTTTCATGCCTTCTACTGTATCCTTATTGAATGACAAATGTCTCTATTTAAAGAAATTAAACTAAATTGTGATACTTCTCCCTGTATTTATGAAGCATTTATTAAGCATTCAGTATTGCAACACTTTTTTTCTATGGCATAAGATAAATGAAAGCTGAAATACATTTGTTCATAGCATGTGTGGTTTACTTTATATAGGTGATGTGCATACATAAGCTGTTCTTTATGAACTTCATGAATTATGTGCACATCTGATGCCTTGAGAATAAATGACTCACTCTGTAGTTGTAGAAAAAGCTTTTTGAATACAGGCTATGCTCTCTGAAGTGTGCTTTTTAAATTTAACTGTCTTTTGAGTCCTCTTGCTTAAGTTTTGCATGTTGAGAGTAAAGGCTAAATGTCATTTGCTTATGTGTCAGTTACTAATTGAAATTTTGATTTTAAAACAACAGTCAAATTCACGGTTCATACATGTTAATTTATCTTTTTAGTGTGTGACTTACTGTAGCTGGTTATTGAAGGTGTTCTTTTGAAATTGTTATGCAATCCAGGACTGGGCTCTTGGAGTTCTTCATGCCAAAATCATAGCTGCCATAACGCTGATGGGTCCCCAGTGGTGGCTGAAGACCGTGATTGAGCAGGTTGGTATGGGAGACTTTCCTTTTCATCTCTTTCAGATAATGTGAGGATGTGTGGATATGTTAATGTAGATATTTAAGATAAGATATTAAAATGAAAATGTACTACAGTTACTAAACCATTCCTGTTAGCATGTAATAATCTGAAACCAAATGAGATGGGCTGAATGGCTCATTTGTCATTTTTATGCTCAGTTGTTTATTTGAAATAATTTCGTTCCTTTTTTCTTTCCACACCTTGATCTTTTCTCTCTACCTCTTCTCCACCACTGATGCTTCGGTTTTCCTCTTTTTTTTCTTCCTTCGGCACTCATGTATCTCACTGCCTCTCGGTGTCTCTTCCTACAACACACCTGACTTCCTCCTCTTTGACCCTGGACCCCTCCCCCTTCAGTACCTCTCTTCCTTTTCAGGTTCTAGGCTCTCGTTCTGGCTGAACCTGCCTGTTGCAAACATCTGAAATCTGCTTCTCTCTGTCTTCCTTTAAAATCCCTTTAATATCGACTATAATCCTTTGGGATTTAGCTTATTATAAACCTTGTATTTTATTGTGTTTGTGTGATGATTATTCTCATGTTTCTTATTTGTGTTTTCTACCCTGTTTCTTGTCATTGTTTTCTAAGGCCAGCCTTAGGCTTTGAGGAAAGTCTGTTCCTGTAAACCCACAGATTGCATTTCAGAATGAATTCAACAGGAACTCCTTCTTAAATGTTAAGCCAATGTCAGATGAAAATAAGACCTCTAGAGGTCTTGAGACTCTTCAGCTCTTGAGACTGGAATTTTATCTAAATTTATCTTTTAACAATTTTCTGGTTTAGGTTTATGCGAACGGAATCCGCAACATTGACCTTCATTTTATAATCCGCAAGCTGGCAGCTCCAGTTATTTCTGTCTTGCTCCTGTCCCTCTGTGTGCCCTATGTCATTGCTGCTGGTGTTGTTCCTTTAATAGGTAAGTACTTTGTTCAGCCTGTTTAATATTCTTACAGTGTGCATAAACACTGACCTTTTTGTCAAAGATGCCTTTATTTTTTGGAGATCTGCGTCGGTTATTTTCATTTTATGTATGTTAGTGGTAGTCAGTGTAGAAATGTAGCTCGGCTGTACATATTCGTATCCCATTGTTCATTCATAGTGCTGAAAGCAAGTGTTGACTTGTTCTAAAACTAAAAACCAGGGAATTTCTTCTAGTGGCTAATTTTATTTTTTAATTCATAAGCGATCAAATTTAATTCTTGAAGCAGGTTATTCTTCAACCGTTGTCAGTCTTTCAGGTTAATGGATAAAGAGAATGTGTTTCCAAAGGCTTATTAAATATGTGGCTTTTTTTAGGTCAATTCCTATTTGGCTTCTGAAAAATCATCTTGCTGAAGTACAAAGACTTTTTTCTGAAAGATATCACACTTGTACAGTCCATGTGTACGCAGCATAGGTGTCATTGAATTAAAATTAGATCTCTACTTAGCTTAACCATTCAGAGTGGAGTCTTAATGCCTGGATGTGGATTAAGTGTTCTTCATTCCGCTGTTGCCCTGTAGGGGTCACTGTTGAGATGCAGAACCTGGTGCAGCGTCGGATCTATCCTTTCCTTCTGATGGTGGTGATGCTCATGGGAATCCTGTCCTTCCAGATCCGCCAATTCAAGCGCCTTTACGAGCACATTAAGAACGACAAGTAAGTCCCATGAATTCAGTGTTAATGGAGAGTTCCCTAGGCTAACCTTTCGAAATGATTCAGTGTCGGCAGGCCATGGAGGTAGCCTGTTCGCTTTTGTTAGGGTTTCTCTAAAAGCTTCACTTGCTACAAAATGCCAAGGACCTTCCAAGTACATTCCACCAGGAGTTCAAAGCAATCCTTCTCGAGTTTTCCAGTGTGTGAGAGTTTCTGAAGAAATTTCAGGACAGGAATCAGATGCTCCTGCAACATGAGCTGGAACGTCTTCACAAAGTTCAGTGGCTGTGTTCCTCCATAAGTCTTACCACAGTCTGAATCGTAGGGTGAACAGCGCTTCAATGTAAAAACCCTGTTTGTATTAACTTCGAGCGGCTGTGTGTTTCCAGGTACCTTGTTGGTCAGAGGCTAGTAAACTATGAGCGCAAGGGAGGGAAGTCCAGCTCCACTCCGCCAGCCAGCTCCCCTCAAGAATAAAGGCCACTCTGCCTGACCGCTGCCCTCCGGACGCCCGGACCCTCCGGCACAGTGCTCAGTCAGCTCCCCCTGTTCTGTCACGACCTTTCTGTTGCTTCACATCCACATTTTCAGGCTCTCCCGTTCCCCATCTGCTACTGCCCTGCTTGTAAGCGCTGCCTGAGAACTGTACATGTGTAAATAGTTGAAAACCAAACGACCCTAAACGTGAACTTGGATTAAAAGAATGTGCATTGTACATCTTAAAAATATATTAATTTATTAAATCTAGTTGTCACTTTATTTTGTGGACTCCTGTTTATAAGTCTAAAACACACTGTGCCACTATCAGCGGAGGAAGAAGGGCTTTTCCACCTTGGGTTTAGCTAATTAAATTATTTTTCAGTAATGAATTCAGGTGAATTACTGAAAAAAGATAATAGAATACTGAGTTCAAATGTCTGACTTTATCTAGGACTGGGTGTGTTTTTTTTTTTTTTTGGTTTGTGCATTGTTAGGGAAAGTGGGGTAGCTGCATACTTTTGGGGGGTTTATTTAAGTCTTATCAGGACTGTCATGTGACCGAGACAATCTCAGTGTCCCTTTGTTTTCTTTAATATGAAAGTGCAAATCAAATATTACCTGTTACTTTTTAAAACATACTAGTCATTCACAGTCCAAAGTAACAGCTACATTGTATGGGACTAATGCCTGCTAATGACATTTCTGCAAATAAGCATTTCAAAAACAGTTCTAATGTTTAAGATAGAAAGCTTTAACACTGGCATGAGCTGAAAAACTAGCACACTAAACATTTTTTGTCATTACCTGTAAATGTTGTTTTCAGCAGATGCACAAACGGCTATCTATAAATTATTACAATGTAATGTAGCAATAGCTGAATAAACTTAAATATTTTTACTAAAATCCATAGGTCCATTTATGATGTGTTGGCATAAATATAGACTATTTACAATTGTAAAAGGACATTTTTAGATATGTACAATATTAGGATAAATTCTGCTGGTTTTACATTTGTGGTCTATGTTCCCTTGCTTTTCATCATTTAATGGCTCTTGTGGTTTATGTTGGCTGTGTACGTGAATTAAATCACCGTTATTTCTGACTCCGTGGAACAAAGGACTTTCATCCACTTTGCTGAGTGACATTCTCATCAGTGTTTTGTTTCAGTTCTGCTTTGTAATTGCCAACTTCTTTAACGGTTCAGTTTTTATTTAGCCGTCAGTGGTTAAGGAACGACATGTGAACATGGAATAGTGGGGCTTCGTAATGCCCGGTGCTGGAATTGAATCTCAGTTCACCCTGCTTGGCCACACATGCAGCTCCACGACATTGAACAGCATAGTTACCCACAAGCACTGGCGATATGTCACACTGCATGCTTTCAGAGGGAAAATGTTTCGTACCTTGTCTTAAAAATTAATGGGAGGCAATGGAAGAGGCAAGTGAAGTATTCTGGCTACCAGCTTTGTTTCAAAAAAGAAAACAGTATCGTGATCAGACAGATTTTTCTGTTTTAGCTTTCAGTAAGAAGATTAAAGTCAGTTGAAGGCTGTTTTGGATTTCTAGAATAAAGATCAGCTTGGTCTGCATTGCATTCACGAAAGGTGTCATTGACTCCACAGGTTAAGCAAGTGACCTTATAGTATCTTAAATGTATATAAGTGACATCACTGAAGCAGTGATACTTCGGCATTTTGCGTTTTGTGTTGGCAACAGTTTCAGCACAATGTGTTCCTCTATTTATATATGTGTATTTAAAAGTGCATGACTGTAAAGTCTTATCACAACGCAGGATGTGCAATGGTTGGGTCAGCTTTTTGGTAGTTGGGTTATCTGGTTGCATTTCTGAACAAAATCACCGCTTTTGAATTGCTGTCCTTCTTTTCTTGATAAGCATGCCCCCTAGCAAGGAAGGGATACATGCAAGCAATTATTCAGCTCAAACAGTACTCAAACTCCAGAAACTGTTCAGGAATTCTAGCAATGTGATTTTATTTTTTTATTCCTTTTAAACCCAGCATGTTTGTTCTGCGTAGCGGTTTGGAATGTACAGCACACACTGCTGGGATCATGTTGAAAATTTAGATGTAAATGTAACAAAAATCTTTATTTTTAAATTTATTACCAGTATTAAATAACAATGACCATAAGATGCGTGTGCCTTCTGTTGTCATTTTCGCCGGGACCGTGAGTTTATTATAGAGCTGTTCGATCACTTTTTTTAGCCTGTCCCCACATTGCGTTTCAACAAGATAAACCATTTCTGACCCAAGAATGAAATTGCTGGCTGGCGACAAACAAGTCTATTGCTGACCCAAGGCAGTGGCTTTCATGTGTAAATATTTACAATGGCAATTGAGGGAAGGTTATAAAACAGGACTATTTTGATTAGTTTTAAGAATTTCTTAATCATTTTTTAAAACTACACTTGAAAGTATATTTGATCCTCACCTACACTCGCCGATGGGCTTGGCTAGTGTAGGGAGCATTATTGATTGTGCTTCAGAAGGAAAGCAGTATTTCAGATTCGTCGCGTAACCATGCTTTATCCAAGCTGATCAGAACGATACGCAGCGTGTTCCTGCAGCAGGGGTGTGGCTGGTGTTAGTAAATGGGAGGAGGTGGAACTATGTTCTCGTCTTTTGGAGTGAGGGGACCGGGCAGCTCGATGCCGAACCTCTCTCTCAGAACAGCGGGGATCTCTCCGTCGGACAGCTCCACTACGGTCCTCGTCCCGTTTCCTCCCTCCCCCGGTGGAGAGTGCGTGGTGATCAGCCTGCGGCCCATGTAGCTGAGCCTGCCGCCGGGCAGCAGGAGGGAGCAGAGTGACTTGCAGAAGAAGATCGAGCTGGGGGAGCTCTGATGGTACCAGCACATCGCTTTGAACTCCTCCAGGCGGCGTGGCTGCAGGGTAAACTTGTACAGCTCTGTCCAGGCCCCTTGGCCTTCTCCCCCCTCTCCTTCCCCCGGCTTCTCCCTCGCGGTCTCCAGGAAGAGAGTCTCCCCCCGGTGTCGGACGCGATACAGCCCATCTCCCTGCTGCTGGGGCTCTCCGGTCTCCAGTGACAGAGGAAGCTGGAACCCGGCTCCGAAGCCTACGTTGCAGAGCCACCTGCGCCCCTCTAGGACCACCTGGATGATCAGGTGGTCAAAGGGGGGGCCGTAGCGGCCAGTGATGCTGTTCCGGACCTGTGCGGACAGGAGGGTGACCTCGAACCCCAGCTGGGACAGCAGCCAGGAGAAAAGCCCATTGTTCTCGAAGCAGAACCCACCCCGGTGCTGTGTCACGATTTTGTCATAAATCCAGGGCAGCTCCAACAGGATCTGCCCCCCGCAGTGGATGGTCAAGTTCTCGAAGGGCACAGACAGCAGGTGCTTGTGGTGGATGAGCTGCAGTGTGGCCAGGGTTGGTGACACCGGGCCGGAGCAGCCGATCCTTAACAAGTATTGCTCGGCCTCCATTCTACCACAGAACAGCGAGGGACATCTGAAAATGATCAAAACATCCCACTGGTTTTGGTAATCTCTTTCAATTTCAGGTCAAACTGAGTTATATAATCGGCCATTTAAAAAACGGGCTAATTTTGACTCATCTACCTCATATCTGAGAAGGCACCCGTACTATAAGCGATTGCGTGCGGTATAGAAGCTTTTCAACGTAAACAAAATCCTTTGCGAAACATCGAATCCCCTCATTTAAAACAAACTTACAAAACAATTCCGTTATCCGTAGTAAACGCATAGTAATCTACCCCTTACCAACACGAAGTTAGTTTGAATTTGTTCATTCTACCGCGTTAAAATAACATGTTAGTTCAGTAACGCACAGACCTGCAGCATGTGACAAAGTTCAGCTTGGCTGGGCTTTCTGAGCTGTTTCCTGTGTCAGTAAAGGGCTGCTTCCACCCGGTGGCACGAAACGGAACAAAAACCAGGCGGACAAGGAGTGAGCAGTTTTTATCACTAAGTCTTTTTTTTCTCGTCGTGCCACATACAGTTTCTTTCTACAGAATTCGTTTACGGCACCTACTGTGTTTTTTTTTTTCGAGAGTCCAGTTTAAAATCCTACAGGATTTTACATTTTTAATCACAATTTGAACGTGACGTTTTAGCTGCAAAGACGCGTGCAGGAAGGAGTGTGAACCGAGGAGGACATGGCCCCAACATGAGCAAGGTTAATTTGTCATAGAAGCACTCTGAAGTGAGAGCTCATATTGCAGTACAGGACACCGGACACCAGTCAGCGGCCAGGTATTTTCCGCCATAGGCTTTAAGAAGACCGTATCACACGGCAGGACCGGAAGGAGCCAGATAACGTGGGTCATCGATCACATGACCGGGGCTTCCGGGGTTGCTAAGCGCCCCGCTCGGTAACAACGCGGTTGCCAGGTGAGCTGTTAAGAGCTGCCGCGGAAAGTGACAGAAACTGTCTGCCTGCTCCTCCGTCTTCTGGAGCTGTTGTTAGTATCAGGTAGGTCTTACATTGCGCCGACTTTAATGACTGGGTTTGCATGGAAAACAGGGACTTTACAACGAATACCAGCAAGGGAATGCAGTTTCCGAATAAACTCAAAACATGACTGACCATTGCGGGCTCCTTTGAGCCAGAAACTGGCTCTGAAACACCATGAATCCGGGTGAAGCCCCTTTTCATTTCTCTCAGCGTTAAAGATGCCGTTGCTGCTGTTGTCGTTGTTGTAGCTTGCCCGGAGGCGTGTTGCCGCCGCCCTCTCCCGCCCTGCGCCTGTTTCCTCCGCTGCTGAGCTGTCCCGGACAGGTGCCATGCCGCCTCCAGACATGATGTTCTGCGCTCAGCAGATCAGCATCCCGCCGGAGCTCCCGGACATCCTGAAGCAGTTCACCAAAGCCGCCATCAGGACGCAGCCCAGCGACGTGCTTCAGTGGTCTGCAGCGTAAGTGTGGGGCGGCAGCCCTCCAGCGCCCAGGGCCTGCGGGTCATGGCGCCTGGTCTGCAGCCAGCTGCTGCTGCTTCACTGAACGGGCTCAGTCGAGCCCAGGGTGGAATGGAAGCCCCCCAGGACAGCAGCTGCCTCATCCTCACCCAGAGATGGGGGCACAACTCTGGCGGGTGTCTGGGTGTCCTTCCGCCCGAGCCCTTAGTGACCCCATCATCCGCTCCATGGGACAGATTGGGCCTTTTCCCTGTCCTTGAGAAGCTGGAGGACTTGAGGCTGCATCGCGCGCCGTTTGCTTTCGTACTTCATTGCTTTCCGTGTCTTTCATCTGCCGCTCGGGACATGACCAAGGGGGTGTGTCTGAGAGCGCTTCCCTGTCCTGGTCCTGTTAGTTACCTAGGCTTGGATAGACCTACACACAGTCGGGCTGCTACAGTTAAACCTGTTATTAAGGGTTCAGGTGTGTAACTGAGAGCTGTGGGTCACCAGGACCAGGAACTCCTGCTCTAAGCCAGTGGTTCCCAGCCTTAGTCCTGGAGGAAATCCTTGTCTTCTAGTTTTTGTTTTCTTCATCACAGGCTGATCGATGTCAGTTTTATATTTGGGGTAGATTTTTCTATTTGCTTCCAGCTCTTAAAAGGTCATATGGAGTTTGTGGTTGGTGTCGACCCTGCACCAGTTTCTGAGTTTAAGAGCTGCCCTCAGTCTGGTGTGTTGTTTAAAATGTAACTTCATGTACCTCTGCAGATGAAAAAAACAAACAAGTTTTTTTTGGACACTTATTAAAACAAATGTCATAAGTATTTCTCAGTTCTCAAGGACTTATTTTTTTTATTTTTTTAGATTTATTTATTTGTTTATTTTTTTTAGATATTTTTCTGCTCTAGCAAGAGGTGACCCACTTCCTGTTAAAGAAAGGCTTGAGATGCCAGTAGCAACACAGAAGACAGATACAGGACTCACACCAGGGCTCCTCAAGATCCTTCATAAACAGGTGGCCTGTGTTTTTAAAAATGGAACTATGCAGACATAATATTTTATATTACACTCAAGTCTTTCTTCTGTTCCTCAGTAAGATAAGTGTGATTTTGCATTGTTTTCTACTAATCTAATAATGTCGTCAGTTTGCCCATTTCTACAAGCTGCTGCAGAAAGCTGTGACAGTATGAGGGGAGTAAGCAGGGCTCTAGATTAGGAAAGGCACAGTCTTGTCTGTTCACTGAGATAAAAGCTTGGCCTTTGATAGGCCTGCGCTTCCCTGCTAGACAATGAAAAATCTGATTTGTAACTTGAATAAGGACAAAAAAATGTGTTAATCCATGCAAAGCAAAACATGTTGGTGAGATGAGGTGCTCTAGAGAAGTGCTACAAGACTTGGCTCATTGTAATCCTTACTGTCCTGCGTGATGTTCAGTGTGCAGAAACAACCATGAAGGTGCATCTTTTCATCAGCATGCACATCAGGTTTGCAGACAATGCACTATGCAGAGGGGCAACTGACGCTTCTTCAGCAAAGAAAACCCCGAAAGATTTTCACCGGACTCAAAAGATAAGAACATAAGAAAGGATGAATGGCCTCGTCTCACCTGTAAACATCTTCTCTGTTTGGTAGTTACTCTAGTAGCTAAGGGTCCCATCCAGCTGTTTCTGGAAAGAGGCCAGGGTATCAGTTTCAACAGCATGGCTGGGTAGCGTGTTCCAGTCTCACACAGCACCTCACACAGAAACTCAGACACAGTGAATTGAAGGTTAGCTCCAGTACTGCCAAGCTGTAACTAATAAGTAACTTTTCCAGCTTGGACCAAAAGGAAACGTGACTAAAGCAGAGCTGGAGGACCGTTGGCGAGACCTCTCTCTGCCCAAGGAGCAGCTGGACAGTCTGCTGGGACTGGGAAACTTCGGCACCAGCATTGAATGGATTAAAGTCTTTGCTCTGGGCTGCAGTGCTCTGTCTGGGGTATGTATGCAGAATTACGAGGCCCATGAGAATGACAGTGCTTCTCAACGCCAGCACTGTGTTCTGTTGTTAATTGACTTCACTACCTACATTGACATATTGTGTGAATTAGAATATTGTTCTTCACTACTATTACATTTTCTCTCTTACATTTGTGCGAATTCCAGATTCCTGAATACATAATTTTGCTATTTTTTTCTTAAAGTGCTTTTTTATCTAGAATTATATAACCATTGTAGGTGGTTGGTGTCTTGAATAATATTTAGTCTTCCTTGTATACACTATTTCATGAGAGAGAGCCCTTGGAAAAAAAAATCCAACATAAGCCAAACCCTTAGTGAGTATGTGGGTAAATAATATTTCTGGAATAGAAATATAGGCTTCTCTTACAGTACTGTGTGATAGCTGTTTTTTTCTCCACTTGTGTTTTCACAATTTGGTCTGCAGATGCTATATTGTTAACTGTGGTATAATTCTGTAAAGCCCCCTGTGGTCGATTGCGGTGAGGGTTGCTAATAAAATAAAGCAGATAAAATAACTGATTGATAGACCCTTCTGAATGAAAAGTACTATGCAAATAGAAAGCATTATCACTGCTGAAGACCATGTTACCTGGCAGGCCACCAGAGACCAGAAGTGGCGGTGTGCTAGAAACAGGGCTGCTCAGTGCGCTGAGAGGGATCAGGCTCTACATTAGCAATCAGAGGTGATTTTAAGATTGACCTGGGTTGGAAAAACACCTTTAAATGATTCAGTAGTGTTTTCATGAGAGGAGTCTGCACAGAAGCCTTAAAGGCACAGCAGTGTTTACAGACTCCAGTTTATTGCCTCTGGAAGAAACGTAAAGCAGACCGACAGCTAGGGAGCTGGCAGGAATATAGAGAGGCTGAGAGTATGAAAGGATAGTCTTGGGAGAGTGTGAAAAGAAATAAGTAAATTAATTTAAAGTAATATAAACTGACAAGCTTTCAGGGTCAGGTTCCGTATTGGACAAAACAGAAGATGGATGGGATAAACTGATATTCTAAATATTGCAAGATTACACTGAGAGACGTCAGGAAGGGTGAAACAGCAGGGCTATTGACTTGGACAGCATAAGCACATTAAACTAAATGGAATCCTACAGCAGTGTGCATGCTTTTAAAGTTTTGCTTGAGTGTTATTTGTTGAAGCAAAGTGCCTAAATCTTTATACCCATTGGTTCTTGGCCCTGATACTGGTGAGCTGCAGCCTTGTGGGTCTTGTCTTTTAATTGCTATCCACTGCAAACCTGCAAGCAATGCCACATTACTAGTGTAGCATGTAATTAGTTCAGCTAATTTACTTGGCTGGAGCAGAAACTATAAGATTGCAGTGCTCAAGCCCCAGGGAGCTCCAAGCACCACTCGTGTAACTTGTGATATTTAAAGAAGATTTTTTTTTCCTGTATAATTTGATGACCATAATGACTTTTTTTCTCTTTAATGCCAAGTGACTCACACTGTCAGAGCCCATTCCTTACCAACTAGTCAAATAGTGTTGAGTTTCTTTTAAAAAAAAAAATCTGTTGGCTGCTGCTTACTCAAAAGGGGAAAAACATATTTGTAAAATTAAAACATGATTCATGGATGTATTTTGTCTCAAGCCGTAGCTCTTGGGAGTGGTGTTGTTCCACCTCACCCCACACAGTGGCAGTGCACAGCTTAAGTCAAAGATTTTATTACTGCTCTTTGCTATGTCACTGTAAAACATTTTTTTTAACAATAGAACTTGTAAATCCCCATTTATGTTTTGGATAAAGACATGTTTGAAATGCATTGGAGCTTTGGGCCAGACGGTTGATCTGTGTCATGCTTTGTCCTTCCCCAGACGATCATCAGCGCTCTGAAGCACGCCTGCGAGATCCTTACCGAAGACCCAGAGGGGGGAGCGGCCCGCATTCCCTTCGACACATTTGTGACCCTCTACACCTATCTGGCCCAGCTCGATGGGGACGTCCCGCAGGAGCACATAGACAGCTTCCTTCACAGCCTTGAGGAGCCTGTGTGAGTGTACCCCTCCACACTGTGGCCAACACACGCGTCAAGGCGCAGCTCTCTCCTTCTGGACACGGTTTACAGCTTCCTGAATAATGCAGCATCACACACACGTGGCCTAAGGATCATGGCTCGCAATGAGCATGGGATATTCACCTGGAATTGTGAAACTTGATATAGAATGGGTTTTACAGTGACCTTAATTCAGTCCTCTAGAGGAGACATTATAGGCAAAGTATTCACGTCAGCTAATAAGTCATTACACAGTCACAAAACCACACATACAGGTCTGTTCAGGTTAGCAGCAGGATATGTTTGTTAGTAGCTTTTGAGCTCAGACACTTCTCATTTCTGAGAGCCTCTGTATGTGGTTGAGTCCTGTTTAGTGGGAGGGACTGACGCTCTTGAAGATTGTGTAGCTGTGACATGGGGACAAGACAGGCCGTGCAGCTGTATCTGTTCGCATAAATCAAGTAGAAAATAATCTTTTGTTGGTCTTTGGAATCAATATCTGCCTAGCAGACAGCAAACAACGCAGGTAAAAGCACAAGTAAAGCCAGGTGTTCTGCTGCTATCTCTATCTTCACTTGTTACCTTTAATGAAGCTATTTGCTTTTGTGACCATTAGTAATGCGACTATGTATTCAATTTTGTACAACTAAGTAACATAACTACTTTCTGTATGGACAAAATCACGTCGTCCCACTCACCAATCCCAGATCACAGACCCAGTATGTGATGACAGGTTTTCTTTGTGTAAAAGTCCCATGACAAAGAGCCCTGGTAAAGCACTGGGCTTGAAATATGGGCTTGGTTTCACCTGGGCCTCAGTTGGAAAATGCTTCACAGATGGCATTGCTTTGGAAGATCATTTGTCAGCTTCTTTAGGATTAGAGGATTGTTTGAAATAGTAGCAAGGATGTGCTTTAATGTTTGATTTTCTGTGACTCACAGGGCCAAGCAGAATGGAGTGATCCAAGTGTCAAATTTCTACAGGCGTAAAAAGTGAATTCATGATAAGAACAGAAGGAGAGGCAGGGAACAGACAGGGCAGGTGGCCTGAGATGGTAGCTGAGACAGTCCCGTTTCATGGAACACCTTAATGCAAATTAAAACAGAGCCACTGATACAATTAACTGTTGTGGTATGGGTCCATGTCTGTCAGAAAAAAATATATCAAGAACAGTTTCTCCACATTCTTCACAAACATTCTTCATTGTTCTGGATTTAGGTGATTTTGTTACTTTTATTTTCTTTATCTAGACGTATAAGAGACAGCTGTCCTTGACAAGTGCAGAGCTGTAAAGTGTTGTGCTCTATTTACAGCACTTAAATGTATTTATTTAGTCATAAAAATCTCTGAAAGGCTGTTGATTCTGGACTGTAAGGTGGTGATAACAGTCTTTGTAGCTCTAACAGTCTTCAACAGCAATGCTATAAGAGTAGATAAGCTTCGCCCTGGCAGAGTACTCAGTTCTTTAGCTCAAGGGTCTGTCTCACAGAATTCTGGCTGGCATGTTCTTGTTGAAAAATTCAGGATCCCCATACTGCTCTTGAATGAACTTAATAAATACATTTATAAATACATTTATTCAGAAATGTTATAATGGCAGCCTTGTCAGATCATATAATAGAAATTAATCACAAAATATGAGATGGATCATATACAATGTTGCTATGTGGCTGGCTGGTTGATTCCAGCATGTTGGGATTGCTCATTATAATATGGCAGTGCTTTGTGCGTGTACCAGTTAGAATATATAGATTATTTATGATAAATGAGACCGTGTGCAGTTAAATTTATTTAGCCAGGCCTGGGCTGTGATGGAGTTTCACACTGCACAGTCCAGCTGGGAGTGTTTCTGGTGTCTGGGGAGGGTTGATGGATGGACTCTCAGATTGTTCCCTCTCTTGTTCTCTGACCTGTGATGTTCCTTCACTTGGAATAAAACTGCTTTAACTTTGTGTTTTTGTCATGCACTTTTAACAAGCATACATTTTGTAACACACAGAGGATAAGGCTTTTCCATCTTCAGGAGATGAGTGCATAACCAAGACAAGACATTTGTGTGTCACAAACTCAGACAGGTCAATAAATGGAGTGAAATGTGTTCTGCAAGTATTTCAGTATGGATTCAGTATCTAGGAAAAGGTCAAAAGGAGTTATTAAAAATCTAGGTGCATTTAAACTGACATTTTCATAAAGCTTACTATGTTTTCAAACATAAATATAGGTTTTTGTTTTTTGAGTGAGCTTGTTTGGCAAAATCTTCTAAGTATCTCTTCAAGGATGTATAGCACCTAGATTTCAGAGTGTATTGGTATCCAACCTAAAAGAAGAGATAATTGCTCTAGAGCATTATATGAAACAAAAACCCTGCTGGTGTTAGTGTGATGTCTGAGGTGGGTTTTTAGTTTATTCACAGTGAGAGCAGCCTATCCTTGTAAAGAATAAAATAAAATCCTGCAGGAAGAAATACATAGAAACAACATGGGTCTGGTTCTCTTGGAATTGAAATGTTTCTTTCTGTACTATATACAGTATGTAGGCAAATTGGTTTGATTCGAAAACTGAGACCACCTTTAGACCACTAACCACTAACACAAAAAAGTTAAAAGAAGATTATGAAATAATTTCAGATTCAGGAATGGAAGGGGAAGGAGCTGTGCACTCTATACCATGTTCCCAAGGGACATGTATCCCAGACGTATTGCCACCATGTTTTGAAAATCTGGAATAAGACTGTAGTGTTTTTTATCCATTTGTATATTGTGGCACACCAGGCCACTGCTTTCCAAGGTTTCTGGGCTAGAACAGTGATTGATCAGATGTTGTATCCCATTGTAAGGTTGTGGGAACACCAGGAGTGAAAAATAAGAAATCTTCATTTTTACAAGTGTACTGCATTGTGATATGCTACAAAAACAGTGAATGCAAGATAATTATTTCATAACTTTAAATTAAGATACAGTATTTACTAAGTATTGACTTTTAGTTTCTATGCAATTTCATTTCAAATCCCTTGTGCCTCCTCAGTTTTTAGTGGGCTTTGTTTTTGGCATTAAGAAACTAAAATGCACTGATGGCATTGTGTTGAGAAGGGGAGACTGCTCAGTACCTTAAGGCAGAAAATCATTAATGACAGCTGGCAGATTCCCAAAATGCATGTCTGCATATCAAAGTTGTGAAAGCCCATTGCTTGCATTCATGGGAATTCGTTGTCAACATTTCCTAGTTTTGTGTTAGAGATGTACATGTAAAACGGCAAAGTAGCCCAGATCCCATGTCAGACTGGGCTTAGTCAGCTGATGAGTGCTGCGCTGCTGACAGCTGTCTTGAGGACTGCTCACTGCTGAACATCAATCTAAGTTGTGAAGGTTAGTCCTTTTTCACTTGCATATAATTAATTCATCTAAGAAGCTGTTATGTTGCATGCTGGAAGTTTTATTACACACAGATGCTATTGCGTAGGTGTGCTATCTGTTGTGGAGCTCGTAATGTTTTCAGCTGGAATTGATTAAGCCACACCAAAGGAGTGCATGGAAAGTCTGAATTATCCAAGTCTTTAATTTTGTTTGCATACTGTAGTTATTGGTTCCTTGTGGCTTTGGTGGGCAGTTGTATTTAAACCATCTTCCTTGCACTTAACAGCCTGGATGTACAGTATGTCCCTTCTGTGTCTATTCACTTTTACTCCTTTGCAGCACACGTAACATTACCTGTCATTTGTATAAAGTGCACTATTGCAATTAGCTAGTTCCCATGTTGTCCTGCTTTTAAAACTACCATTTTATAAAAAGTAACATTTCTGTATTTTTAAAACATCACGTCGCTGTCATCCCTTAAAGCAGAGGTCCCTGGTCCTGGTCCTGAGCTGTTAATGACATGGAGCAGCTCATTTGGAGCTTAAGTAGAGCAGTTTAAAGGCTTCTCCCAGCTTCTCTTTGTGTACTGAGACCTGGGTCACATGCGGACATGAGGGGGACCCCAGCTTCAGTTTCCCCATCGGCTGGTCTCGAGCCCTGAGGGGAAGGATGACGAAGAGGCTGCAGGCCTTGTGTGTTCCAGCATGGCAGTAAAGCACACTGTGCTCCTTGCTGTCCTGGTCGCTGGTTCGTAGACAATGCCGAGATTTTGCGGCTCCCAACTCAAAGCTCGGATCTCATTCCCACGATATTTTGGAATGATGTCTTGACAGGCAGAGCCATCACACAGCATCCCTCGCTGAACCTTCAAGTGCTGTGCTTGTGAAATGAAGATGTATTTCCTCCGGTTGCCTCTCACAATTTAGTGATGAGCGATTGATGCCACAGACTCGCCACTACACCACCCTGCAGAGAGTGACTATGCAAAATAAATTCAAAGTTCATCTTCTCTTGGCTGTCAATACAGCAGTAGACACATCCCTTGTGATCAGAGTGTTGCATGTTGGTGTCTTAAAAGATTAATCACAGTGCAGTTCCTAGCTGGTCTGTGCAGATGTTCCCAGTGTTAACACAGGGAGGCATGCTGCTTTCCTACTGATCAGGCGAAAAGATTAGCCTGTCAATCTGTCAAATGAGCTGTGTGCAGCCCAGCACCTTACTCTCACAAAGGCTTGCGAAAAAGCTGTGTGACTGCAGCCACATCCAGGTTTTTAAAACCTTTGTACAGCTGTTAGCAATATCCATATACAGGTGATTTTCACATAATTCAAATGGCTTTAAAATAACAGAGTCATTTGCTAACTACCCTTATTTTTTTTCAAATACAAAGGTATTTACTTCATTCAAGATTATTCTTAAGACTGCTGTGGCAGTCAGGCACTGGAAACAGTTTGAGTAAATTCTTATTTGGTACACTTTTTTCAAGAGCAGCCATTTGCCATGTACTGATAATTTGTTTTCATCAACATGGCAACATGGTTTTTTAAACTCATTTCTTTGATGGACATGATATCATTTTATCAACCCGTAACTCCAATAACTAACAACTCCTATAGAAACAATTTCAGTGTGAGTGCAATGTGAAACATTTCCTTCTAGGTTTGAATTTTACTCAGTATTTATTTCCTTCCACTGTAATTTCGTAGTTAAGGCATCATTTCTTTTATATGCATTTCAGGTGAGTGAGGTTGTTAGTATCAACGAGCATCAGAAATCCATGTTCTATAAAATGTTGCATGAGTCGGATTGCATTGTGCTGTTCGCTGTCGGTTCCAATGTTTATGTGTAAAATGATTATGTACCAAATCGCGCCTGTTTACCAATATTGATATTGAGTGATATAGAAGGTGGAAAACTGCAGAAAAGGGTCTTATATGAAAACTGGTTAATTAAATGACACTTAAGTAACCATACTGCACAAGCTATGTGTTCTGTTCAGATATTTCTCCTGGAGTTTGCAGAAGCTACTGCGAGCAGTCAGTGGTCTGAGGAGGCTGGATAGACGCAGGAGACAGTACAGAGAGCAGGACACTAGGACAGAGCAGACAGGCAAGGTTCTTCCAGACTACAGTATCTCATCTCTGATGTCTTGAAACTGTAGGAACAGTCAGGATTTGAAAATGTTTCTTTGAAAACCTTAACAAACATATTTTTCATCTACTGTAAGTCTGCCTTGTAACTGGAAATGATCTTAACTCCTAATGAAATGAACAGTATAGACTTACTTTATGTTTGTATAATTATATTGACGTGATAATTCTAAAAACTTTAATAGTTATAGTAGGAGTGGAGTGGTGGCACTGTGGCTAAGGATCTGCGCCTGTGGCTGGAAGGTTGCCGGTTCATATTCCGTGGCTGGCAGAGGAATCCTACTCCGTTTGGCTCCTGAGCAAGGCCCTTAACCCTAACTGCTCCAGGGGCGCCGTACAATGGCTGACCCTGTGCTCTGACCCCAAGCTTCTCTCCCTGTCTGTGTGTCTCATGGAGAGCAAGCTGCTGTATGCGAAAAGACGAATTCCTCATGCAAGAAATTGTATGTGGCTAATAAAGTGATCTTATCTTATTTTATGAACGTGTATTAATCAGAGTAACATTTTGTCTCCTTTAGACATCTGCACCCAGGTCAAGGCAGAGTACAGTACAGTATGAAAGGAGTGACAGGAGTCGACCATTTCATGTGGTGCATTTCTCAGGAAATTCTTTGTGAGGCAGATCTGGTCTTAGTTCAAGTAGGGAGGCGCCAGCCGCAAGGAACAAGTAAAGGTTTATTCCCTAATGAAAAGAGAAGGAAAGAAACGCAATGTTTCGAAGAAGGCTACACAGCCGAAATGTTGCGTTTATTTTCTTCTCTTTTCAGCCTGGAATAAACCTTTTCTAGATGCTTAGATTTTGTCTTAGTCAACCACATCGAAGCTTTCCTTAGGCCCTCTTTGTTTAGTAGTCCAGGCATGTTTTAATGCAAGGTGATGCCCGGGAAGGAAAATAGTCAAGACACGACTTTTGTTGACAGGGAGGTCATCTGAATCCCATTGCAGAAGCTGGTCCTCACCTGCCTCATCTCAAAAGTCAACCATCAGGACTCTCAGATGCTTCTGCATCCAAAAGCAGTCTGTCCTGAAGGCAGAACTTCACTAATCTCCAGTTTGGGATTGGCATTGAAAGACAGGATTTTTTTTTCAGCCTAATTATGATATATACTGTATAATTATTTTTTAATGATAGAATTACTAGTTTGGTAGTATTAGGAGGTGCTGTCCTATCGCACTGATGATAAGAGGGAAGGTGTTCTCCTGGTGTCTGGGCTTGCACGAGCCGATCTGCCACAAGTTAATAAGTCGATTGATTCTTTACCCTTGATTTCATGGGTGAATTAATTTCTCAAGTCTCCGTCTGCTGTGAAGCAGGGCTGCCAGAGCAGAATGCCTGGTGCTCATCACCCAGACGTTACGCTTCGCTGGTGGATGAAGGGGTCCTCGCCTTTGGGCAAAGAGCAGTGGGATCCTTGAGGATGATTATCAGTGATGTCTTGGGTGACAGGA